TCAGATAATTATGTAAAGTGTCATTTTTTTAGGTCTCTTCTATTTGTGTTTCATACAGGTTTTTAATACATTTTACATAATGACAGCTGAGACATTTCCAAAGCTAAAGCTAAAGCTAGAGCTTCAAAAGCCTAATGTGGGACAGCAACTCAAGAGGAATTTATCTTGATACAGTTATGACAGAATTCACTAAATAGGTTTGGAGCACATGACAGTTTAGAGAGACACCATTGTTAACAGCACTGCTTGGTTCCATCTCCCGTTAACCTCTGATTTCTTCACTGCATTTTATAGTAATTCATAATCACAGTATTGTAGAACAAGTGATATTTATCAATATGTGGTTAATATTTCTCATTTCAAAACAGCTTGAAGTGGCCCAACAAATTAATAGTGAGCATATATTTAAAATTTTAAAAATAAACAAACAACATTTAACAACAAATATTCAATGACAATTTATTTGAAAAAACAGTAAAACAAACATGTAATCTATTAACATCTTGTGCACTGATTCAGTCAACGATTTGTAACACTTCAATGGTTTCAAGTCTTCCCATTTCAATATTGGGGGTTGGGGTATCCCAGAACTCCTTGCTCTGTCTTCTCTTAAACAAACAAGATATTACAAGTTAATTAGTAAGCTTCAGATATGCTGGCAGGTGACGTTTGCTACCTTTGGACAGAATCAAGCAAGCTGCTATCCATTTCCAGATTTTATGCTAACTAAGCTTAAGACCTGCTGACTGTACCCTTTTCTTTATTAGTATGGTAGCATGATGCTTTTTATTACAGTAAATCAAACTTTTCACTGGCAGTAAAAACAATAAAATAGACAATGATGTTAAGTGTGGTATTAGCTGTTAAAACACAAAACCAGAACTGTGCGCTAATAGGGTTCAAATGTTAATTTTTTACTTGAATTTTGTGACCATTCAATTCCATAAAAAATGAATGTTTTTATTTGCAATATGTCTAAATACTTATAGGAATTCTTGAATTCACAATCTTAGCATGCTTGCAGAATTTTATTTTGGGATTTCAGATGATCACTTTCACGCAAAAGACTTGACATCAAATAAACTAAAGAGAAAGAGCTTGCCCATCAGAATGGGCCTCACATGGTATGGGTGGGTTAACTATTGCTGCATTTGTTATGCATTTCTTCTTCTTTTGGTCCACTGCAAAGCCTGAAATTACAAAAAAGTGAAAAAAAGAGAAAAATGTTATTTTCTATTTCTTCACATTTGAAGGTATGTAGCATAAAAAATATATTGCCCTTTTACAACATGAACATCACCTTATCAGGAAGTCAATCAATCTAACTGTTCTCAGAAATAATGCATTGACAAATACTAAAATCAATTTCTGACGTGTTCTACAGCCCACATGTGAGACACTTAGCACTTTGATCATATCTACATGTGATGTGTGAACTGCCCTCACCCCTGACATTTTTGCATCTGCTCCACGGTTTCCGGAAGATCTTTATGAAGGGTCTCCGGAAGGAAGAGGTTAACCACAGAGGAAGCAATTGTGAGACTTCCCATTAAAACATAAGGCAGAACTTTATTATACGTACCTAGAAATAATAAAGGAAGAAAAGTCAACTTTAGAAAATGGCATACTTTTAGATACCTAAATGTATAACCTCATGAAATGTTAAGCATCTACAAATCTATGTTTATTTCAAGTTTACATGAGATGCTGCATGACATACTTTTACCTGACTATTTAAACCCAAAGGATATTTTTACATACCACTGCTGTTATTCTGTGCTGGTTTTTTAGGTACCTACGCTATATCATTGTATGACTAAGCCAATGCAGTGTCTGTGTGAGATATCTAACATCTGTGTACCTAAAAAAATGACATAAGGTGCTGTGATACTGCCAACACGTGCAGCTGAGGAGCACATCCCCATGCCAATATTCCTGAGTACTGTGGGGTAAATCTCAGCAGTGTAGATGTACACGATGCTGAAGGCCATAGTGAAGCCAAACTTTCCAGTCATTTCTAATGCCAGAGCAACATTGTGAAGGGCTGAGGAGAGAAGAAATAGAGAGAGACATAATTGTTTTTTGGTTTCATGATATTAGAGCTTTACTTTGTAAGAAGGGAAACCTTACTGTCAGGGATGAACTGGATGAGCAGAAGAACTCCTCCTCCAATGATAAGGAACAATGAAAGGAGCACTCTTCTGGGACATGTTTTTAGCAGCCATGTAGAGACTATGTAAGCGGGGACTTCGGTTGTAGCAGACAAAAAACAGTTCACAAATGGGTTGCCACTGAGGTTGGATGTGTTCAGCGATAAACCAAAATACCCAATGTTTATTGCCATCCTGAAAATACAAAAAGAAAAGTACAGTGTCATTATTTACCAATATTTGTGCTATTATATAAAGGTCAAGTCAGGCATCTTTTCACATTGACTATTTTTGCTGAATTACAAAAACCTAAAATGTCAGAAAAAGGTGAAAGCAACCATAAAACGTACCATAAAAGGAGACACATCAGTGTGATACATCTCAGATTCTTGGATTTCAGAATATCAAGCATGGTATATGTCTTGAAAAGAGGCAATTCCTGGGTGTTAAATGGAGACAGAAGATGATTTATGTGATTTGAACTTCTACTTTTGTACATAGACTATTGTCAGTATATCATAAGCAGATTATATGTGGGCTTTGTCCAAGGAAAAGCATTATGTGGATATGAATGGGTGAGATTGTACTGTATTTTAATCTTATAGTAATCTGAGGAATGATTCTTAATTCCAAACACTAGCAATAGATTTCTATTCAAGAAAGCAACTTCTAATAAAACATTAAGAAAGAGAAATGATGAAATAGTGCATTCAACCATCACAGTTATCTGAAATATTAACATGTAGCCTCAAGGAAGCTATCCACATGGCTTTTACTCAGGTTTTTACTAAGGCTATGAAGAATGACAATAAAATAAACAGACATGTACGGGAAGAGGAAACCTCCAGCAAGACAAAACACAAACTTCCCCAGCTTCCCTCTCCAGGGGCAAAAAAATATAAATGACTAAAATATTCAATGTGGCCTCTAGAGTCACATTTTTACATTTAGTCTGTGAATATTAAAACTACCAGCGTACACCTGTCAGCCACAACATTGAAACCACCTATGTAGCATTGTGCAGGTGCCCCTCATGCCAATAAAGCAGCTCTGACTCTTGAAGGCCTGGATGTGATGTCTGGCACTGGGACATTAGCGGTGGATCCTTTGGGTTCCAGGGTTGGACATCTGTAGATCTGGCTTGTTCCGCTGCATCCCACATATCTGATCGGACTCAGATCTGGGTCAACATTTTGGGCTCTTTGTGGTACCCCCCTAAGCAGGTTTGGCAGTGTGGCATGGTGCACTGTCCTGCAGAGGGAGGCCGGTGCCATCGGAGAGTGTTGTTACGATGTGGGGAGTGGGTCTGCAACAGCGTTTAGGTGGGTGATACATGTTAAAGTAACATGCACAAGAATGCCAAGACCCAAGGTTTTCCGGCAAAATAATGCATTGGAATGAGAAGACAAATGCTATTTGTTTCATCTGTCAGTGGTTTTAATGTTGTGGCTCATTCTGTATGTCAAATTTCCAGAAATGTAACCCTAAATTTGTTTTTCCATTTTTAGAAAATACTAGATATGGACCTGAATGTTAGACAAATGCATATATTAATACTAATATTAATAACAATGAATGAAGCTCACCTCAGATTCTTTAAAGATTACAGGTGGTGCCTGAACTTTATTTTTACTTGCAGCTTCTCTGACAATGGCCTCTGCCTCTTTGACTCTCCCCTGAGTCATCAGCCATCGAGGAGACTCTGGGATAAACCTGCCCAACCAACATAGTTTTAGAGTCTATTTTCTTTACAGTTATTGACAGTGTTATTGACTTTGCATTTATGCATGAATATTGGAGTAAAAATCACTGGATATCATAAAAAAACATACCACCACAGTGGAAAGTTTATCAGAGAGGTTGTTGACAGAACTGCAACCAGAGTCCTCCATTCTCTGATGCCGTATGCAATCCAAGGAAGTGTCATGTACCCAATGCAGTAGAAAAGGAAGGCTCCGAGAGTTGTGAACAGCACACGCATAGTTTTACTCAAAACCTCAGTTCCTATCCAAGATGAAATCATAAATCGTTAGTGACAAGCGTGTTACTGAAGCAGACAGAAGAATCATACCAAACACATGTTTAAATTATATTTCAAACCTAGAACAAATGCAGAAATGTAGAGGGATATCTGAGAGGCTCCAACCCAGAGGTACATGATGCAGAACATCCTCCACGAATGAGAAAAGGACTGAAGCAGGACGGAGAGACACTGGACCCCAAGAGACATAAAAACAACCTTCTTCCTTCCAAACCTGATTAGAAAAGAATCGTATATATCGCAGATATTTATTCACATATACAGAGCATTTATAAATGCATGTGGTTTGTTTTCTTTTGGTGAGGAAATGCAATCAAATAGCTACAGTTAAGGTTTTAAAAAAAACAAACATCACAGCTAAATGAACAAATCCTCTCTGGAAATGAACCGAAATTGGAAACATTAGAAACTGAATAAGGAAATAAAAATTTATGTTAAATACAAAACTATATTAGCCCGTGTGTTAGTACCATCCCTCTTATAACAGCAGATGGAGCTGCTGTCATTAATTCCACTATACAGTGTGGCTATAGAGTTTTTTTTAACTGTTCCGAAATCAGTGTCATTTGCCAGCTATTTATTTTTCAGACACTACTGTAACCAGCACTGTATGAACAGACTTGATTTAGAGAAACTAACAGACTTGTAGTATATAGTAAATGACAGAAAATGTCTTATAATTAAGTCAATGTAGGTATAATTATACAGGGTGGATTCAGGGTAAGTAGAAAAAGGATAATTAGGAGTAAAATACCTGTCTGAAAGCTGTCCTGAGACTAGGGACCCAATGAGATATCCCACAAATAGACTCGAGGATGCAAATGGAACTTTCCATTGGTTGTCACAAACAAGGTCCCACTGTAAAATATGTGAATTGCATAGTAAAAAGACAGCTTAAAGCTTTCAAAACTGGAATTTTATGTTAGTAATCATAATAATATAGCACTGACCTCAGTGACTATAGTGGATTGGTAGATTTCTTTGCTGTAATTCCATCCATCTAAACATCCCTCCTGCTCCAGGGTCGTCAGGTTAACTTCTCTTCCAGGAATATATCCTTGTGCAGAAAGATTTCTAACCACGTCTATCTTATATCTGCTGCACTGGCTCTGAACTTCCTCACCATCCACTATCGTAAAGGGAATGATGGCATCTCTCCACTCCTCGGTCAGGTTGACGTCTGGAATCAAACAGTGGTGTTTCGGAGCTGCTCCAACAAAGACAATGTAAAGCCCGTTGAATCCGGTTGACACAAAAACAACATTTAGGAGAAAGAATGTGGTCCAGAAGTAAGGACCGCTCTGTCCAAGAAATGCTGTATCGTCATCATAATCTCCCATTCTTTATATATATATGTATATTACAAAAAATACCTCCCTGCCCTGAAGGGAAAAAGGCAAAGTCTTGTAAAATTCTTCAGAGCTGGCTTTCTTCTTAAACTCTTCAGCTTAGTGTCAGAGTGTTAGAGCTGAGCTCTTTGTCAGGCAGAGTGAGCCGGTCTCTTGGTGGGACGGAGTTACAACGGAAAAACTTTAAATTTAAGTGCTGAGAGTTTTAAACCTCCTTTCTAAAGGACAAATTTTCATCTCAATGTGAAACTTCTTGTTGATCCTCTATTCTTATAAGCAGTCAAGGCAGAAAATGAATAGAATATTAAAGAATGACACACAGCTCATGCGGTAATTTGATTGGATTTGATTTACTGTAAGTAAGAATAACCAGAAGCTTCATAGTTACCCAGCCCCCTCACCCAGCCCCCTCACTACTGTGGAAATTTCCTCTAAACAACATTCCACTCTATTAAATACTCCCAAGACGTCCACGTGCCTGTACTCTAAATGTTGCTAAGAAGAATTAGGTCTCTCACTGGACTATTTTAAGAAACTCTGTTAAGGCAGACATGACTTCATTGATTAAAGATTTTTTGTGTGAACATATTGATCATGCTTTTGTAAATTTACTACGGATTTTATATTTAGCCACTTTTACATCATGTACATGGTTTGGAGACTGATTGGGATCCTGTGTTGCAGCTTAAGTTCCATTGCATTTTTAATAAGACATCAAATAAATAAATAAATAAATAAATTCCTCTTTATAAATGAATAAAGAGGAATGATTACAGTAAAAAATTACAAAACCTACAGGCAAAATCTTTATACTCTAAGAACAAAAACCCAGATCGTGCAGAGAGTGCTTTTTCTTTTTAAACAATTTTTAGTGATGAATTTTGTCTGTTTTTAGCTCATCTAAGAATTGCACCACCTGCATTATCGTAATTAATTTTAGAGCTAAAGCTGCTGATATCCATCTAATGTACACTCACTACTGACAAACCGCTGATGATCAAACTCAATTTCAGAACAGGAAAAAAGGTTGTGTTCTCTTTTACTGTGAACATGGCATGGTTGGTGGTGCTGATCTGAGTATTTCAGAAACCGTTGATCTATTGGGATTTTCCCATGCAAACATCTCCAGGGTTTATAGAGAATTGCTAGAAAAAGAGAAAATATGAAATAAGCGCTGTTCTCTGGGGTCAGAGGTCAGAGGAGAATGGCCACGTTTCCTTGACATTACAGATAAGGTATGCAGAAAAGTATCTTTTATGTACAACATGACAAACCTTGAAGCAGATTGGCTACAGCAGCGGAAGACCACACTGGGTGCCACTCCTGTCAGCTATGAACTGGAAATTGAGACTACAATCTGCACCAGCTTACCAAAACTGGACAATTAAAGACTGAACGATAGGCTATAGGTTAATTGCTAACTAGAACAACAATACGTTGTTCAAGTGGAACAGCGAAGCGCAATTATGGAAGCCAAGGGGTTGTCACATGATTCGGAAGGCATTGTGGGCATTGTAGGCTCAGCCAATCAGAGCCAGCGGATTTCATTACACGGGCAGAATATTACTGTTCAGTGCCTTGTAACTTGAATTTTTCGTGACATGGGGTATTCGTAAGTCGGGGTTCCACTGTATACATAAAAAAAGATCAAAAGTATACAGATAAATCGTTTCCCAAAGTGAAAATACCCATCTATAGATGAAAATTTAAAGCTGAAGTTATTTACTGTCTACAGACAAGTTTCCTTCTAAGTGCATAACAACATATCAAGTTGTAACAATCACGTGAGAGTCCAGCAGCAGGTGGAATAAAGAGTCTTGCTTAACAGCTCTAACAAAGGGACTTACAGCTCCTCAGGTGACACGTGTTTAAATGACCACATAGATTATACAGCAACATGCATTTGAAACATTGCAATGAACAGTTATGTTTCTACTTAATAAAGCCTGAAAAACACAAACACTTATGTAACATCAAACAAGGCTTTTAAAACATGCGTCATGTATAATGGTAAATATACTGCCGGCTTTTTCTAATCTAATTCATAATTAATGTCACTGATGTTAATGAAGAGCATGTGTCTCCAGTGTCAGCCTGGCTGATTTCCTTGTTAATGCTTGGGTGAAAAACAGCATTTTTTTTTTTTTTTTTTTTTTTTTTTTTACAACAAATGCGTAAAGCAGTGTACACAATCATTAACCCAAGCTTTACCAGCAAGCAGGTTTTCATTGAGGAGATCATGTTTTACACCATCAGTAAATGCAGAGGCTGGGATTACATGCATGTGACAGTTCTTTCACGATAATGGTTTGTATAAAGATTAGATATGGCGGTAAGACTATCCTACTCTTTGAGCAGAGGGAAAATTACAAGAGCAATGCGCTCCCTCCCTGCCCCCCCCCCCCCTCATTTACCCTCTATCTAGCTGTAATTTTTTTCATTTAATTTTAATAATCGACAGACATTCTGATACACAGAGTTCATTCTTCACTGGTTTTTGGTACTAATGTAGAACAATGTGTATAGTTTAAGCTGGAATGTAAGTGAGTGGTGGCTGGAGCCGTATTTGCTGATCTAGTGGTATCCACCTTCTATAAGTCTGTTACCTAAAATGCTGAACAAGGGTCATAATGCTTACGTAATCAATCATGTTTAGGAAATTATGAGAGTGTTCGACTTTATGGTCTTTTTGTGGCAGTTCGATTCAGGAGAAAGACACAGTACAACAAAAAAGGTGTCTGGTCTTTGGGGAGGGAAGACTTTAGGGAATTATAACCAAAGAGAATACCGCGCATCGTTATCTGGCCTTGGACCAAAGATTGTTTCTCATAGGTGTCATTACGATAATAAAAGAGTCCAGAGTGCATTCTGTATGGCAAGACTAAAGTAAGGAATTTGGAAACACAACTTCCAGTGCAGGGGTAAGACGTTGTCCTTTCTGGAGTGTCCCTAATGATGGACTTTTCCTTAGCAGATAAACCCAATGCACATTTTCTTGTTGTACCTCAGGAAAAAAGCTTTGGCTCACATGTCAAGTGATGTAAATCCGCATAGATGGCAGCTAATTAAAACATATACAAAAGGACACTTGTGTAAATCGAATCAAGTATTTTGCTATCATTATTACTTTGAAATTCTTTTAAAATCAGTAATGTTTTATTTGTGCTTTTGAGTATTAGGAAATAGAAATGAGACATGCTGTAGCTGTCATAATGCACGTGGACTGAAATGCATAAAAAAAATCGATATTTTAACACTTGCATGGCTACAGTTTCTATACATATATTAGGAATAATAACGTATGCCTCTTATAGTTCAGTACAGATAAAAGCAGACCTTTGGGGGCTTAACAATGTATTATTGCGTCATGCAATTTAAATCACGGATTGTCCCTTTAAAGACAAGTTAATTTGGGGAACTTGGACAATAATTAAAACGGCGCGAGGTGGGAGGGATGGTTTAGTAGTTAAAACAAAAGCTCTGCTTAAGAAATGCCCACTCCAGTCACCATTTCATTTTTCTTAACTCTGGCCCACTGTGTAAACCCTGAGCCGACAGAAACCAGTAAGATGACGGACTATGAAACTTCAACGGCTTTCCTCGGAGAGTGGGGATGTTTCCAGCAGCAGGTGTTTTTCCTCCTTTCTTTGACCGTCATCCCTAACGGTTTGACTGCCCTTTCCACGGTGTTCCTAGCCGACACGCCGTCCCACCACTGCCTCATACCCGCGCATCTCAACCTCACCCCCGAGTGGAGGAACAGCAGCATCCCGCTGGAGCAAGAGAGCAGCCAAGGTGACGCGTTGGTGCGCAGCAGGTGTTCCAGATACAAACTTGTTGATATCCTGAGTTTCTCTGAAAAAGGCTTGCTGCCCGTCGTTGATGTGAATCTGTCTACTGTGCCGAAAGAAAGCTGCTTGGACGGATGGGAGTATGACCAGAGCATCTACATTTCTACTATCATATCGGAGGTATATATACACGCCTGTTTTCTAAATGCGGAGAAGGCTGCTTCTGCTTTTATGCTGAGGTAGAGCTAGGCGACTGTGTATAGCCCTATAGGTTAAATGTTGTGATATAGAGGAAGTGTGTTAGCTAAACTCGTGTTATTATGGGAATTCATCACAAAGTCAAACAAGATGTGGCAACAATTTCTCAAATAACACAAAATCTCTAATTTGTGGAAAACTGGCCCTAGGTTGTGTGGTTTACAGGAACAATGCTGTTTTATGCTTTTAGATTGTTGTTTAACATCTGGAACACACTGTGCTCTTTGGTTTTTCTTGAAGAGAAAACACAACTAAAAAAAAAACAGCAAACCTTTTTGAGTGTGATCTGCACTGTATATATCTCCTATGTGTTTTTTCAGTGGGACCTGGTTTGTGATGAAAGCTGGAAGAAACCTCTGACTTCTTCTTTCTTCTTCTGTGGAGTTCTCACCGGTTCCTTCATTTCAGGACAGCTTTCTGACAGGTTATGGACAAGATAGCTTAATTCAGTTAAATTCTACTTATTATTATCAATTGTTAAATTCTAGTCCTATGCTTCAAATCAGTTGAGCTAGAGTACTATTGATCTACTGAATGAACACATGTGGAGTAATGTGACCTAGTACATTTAATCTAGTATTTACTGAGGAATAGTTTTTTTTAAAAAAAAACCTGTTATGCCCAACTGTTTATTAATATAGCTAATCCTACCACACTATATGTTAGATATGATATAGAAATAAATGCCCTTAAGCTCATATTTATTGCTGCAGAACTAAGCTGTTGAACAAAAGTCACTGCATACAGTAGGCTAATCAGGATGCTCAAGTTAATTATACACTTTTCTTTCCACAACTTTGTGTCACAGCATCAGTGAATCACAAAATGATAAAATTTTGAGCCGCATGTTAATCATCCAGATTAATTTTTTAAAAACACATTAATTTATATTTATTAGCAAAACAGTGTCAAACCACATGTTACAAATGTTTTACCACATGTCCTGATACTAAACTGGTCAGCTTCCAGTCGAGACCAGTTATCTATAGCTCTGCTGTACTATGAAACAAAAAAATAAAACAAAAAAGGACCCTATGCAAGGCAAGATATCTCTCTTTTCAAACGATTGCAACTATTGCAAAAAAAGATGAAAAACAGGCCTTAGAACAAATTTAGATGATTCATAACTCATTGCATTTTGTTTTTTATTGAAAGCAGCTCTTGCATAATCCCTCACAAAGTCTAAACACATTTCCAGCACAACTCAGAAGCCAAGTTGGGTTAAAGGGGAAATCCATTGTTACTCAGAGTAAGATTTTGGGGGGCAAACTTAAATAATTAATTTTTTGCTTATGTCTCAGAAAACCACACAATTTCAGACTATTTCATTTGTACTGGACGGAAGCTAATGGCAGGGGCGAGGATGAGCTATCCAGTAAAGTTGCTGTAAAACAAAATTGTAATTAAAAAGAAGCAAAGAGATGCAGTACCAGGGGATTGGTCAGTCTATATGTTATTGGTAGTCATTAAGTGCACATGTCGTCTCATTTACGTACATGCAGAAAAAAAGAATATACGAGACCTTATTGTTGTTGTGAATTTGACTGACTCTCCCACTTTATAAAACATGCTGATTTGTTCAGTCCTGCTGTATTTCAATTTCAGGTATGGGAGAAAAATAGTTCTGTTTGCTACTCAGGCAATTCAGACGGTATTCACATTGATCCAGGTCTTCTCTCCATCTTGGACGGCGTTCTGCGCCCTGTTCTTTGTCGTTGGGGTGGGCCACATTTCCAACTATGTGGCTGCGTTTGTGTTAGGTACTCTATTCAAAGGTTTTCAGATGTGTTTTTTATAATACAAAACTTTTATGTAATGTAACTTGTAATTTGAATGTTTTTTATTTATTTATAATTTTCCAAGGAGCGGAGATATTAAGCCCATTTGTGCGGACTGTTTATACCACGGCGGGTGTGAATCTGTTCTTTGCTGCGGGCTACATGCTTTTGCCGTTCTTTGGTTTCTTTATCAGGGACTGGAGGATGCTCCTCCTAGGCCTTTCACTGCCTGGCTTCTTCTTTGTGCCTCTCTGGTGGTAGGTAGGTGTGTGTTTGTGTGTGACTGTACATGTTACGGTAACTGATAATGCACAGCTGTACATCTGGGGAGTGTTAGGATTTTTTTTTAGTGTAATCAAATTATTTTCCCTTGGATCCTTTTTAATGAAGCCAGTAAAAAAATATTGACAAAACATGTACATGATGTCCTGACTGCGCTTTCTTTGGTTTGAAAAGACTGAGGCTCTGTTTCTGCCCCTTCTTTTGTTTAATGAAAAAGGTTTATCCCAGAGTCTCCCCGGTGGCTACTCTCTCAGGGAAGGATAGAAGAAGCTGAGGCCATAATCAGAGACGCTGCTAAGAAGAACAAGGTTGAGCCTCCATCAGTCATCTTTAGTCCCTTGCAGGTGAGACCTTTTTGGGTGCAGTGCTAGAGAAGCGGCAGTTCTTTTAAAATATTTAGGGAAGTCAAAAATGCCTTATCTGTCAGTGTTTTCTCTGTAACTGTGAAAATCTGTTACTGTCACTACACAAATAATTTAGAAAGAAGGCTGTTTTACTGGAGATAGGATTGCTGTTTTTCATTTGTTTTCAGAAATCACTTAGACACTATAATATTAATGACTGAACAAGATAGTAAGACGGTAAATATTTCTTCTTTTCCAGGAAAATTACAATGCATACACCTACAATTAAACCATGTCACTATGTTTTTTAATGTTCCAACTGAATTTTCAGTATTTCTAGGTGAAAGGGCAAGAAGCATGAACCTTTTCAGGTTCACTGCTCAGTGTGCATTGTGATGTAATCATTTACTGTTTTCCTGTTTTCTGCATGAATGAACGTTAATCTGGCGGCTAACAGACAGACACATTGTCAAGGTTCATTAAACACCTTTCCTTCTTGCACTCTTGCACTGGATAATGTGTCTTTTAACTATTGAAAGAAGTCGACTTTAATCGACAAGGAGTTTTCAACGTGCTGAAAAGAACACCAAGCACTGTTATATTGTGCTTGAGTACAGCTGTACATGTGTTATGAGCCTAAATGTGTATAGGTTAGATAGGTTAGCTGGTAAATGGTTGAGTATATGGTTAAACCTGTAAGGCCTAAACTTTAACAGCAGTTGAACAAAAGTGTCTATTGTGTAAGAACTGATTAAACTTGTAACTGCAAATAAAGGTAAGTTTATGAAAGAAGCTGTGAAGACAACATGTTTCTTAATATTACCTTGGTTTTTGCCTACCTGAATTCATTTCATAGAAAAACTGTCTATTAAAAAATTAAAGACACCATTACCAAGAAACTGAAAAGAACCCTTAAATCCAAAAAAAAACCCCCGGTAGATTTCCGAGATTGAAACATGAAATAAATCAAACTGTTAATTGCAGTAATAGTGTTCATTGTAAAAAAAAAAGAAAGATCACATGCTTAATAATGGAAAATTACCAGTTGAAGTCTACGAAAGAACTTTAAAAAGTGGGTCTGTTTTTTTCCACAATGCATTCCTCCATTCAGATGACCTCTGTGTTATTTTTTTCAACTTTGGTTTCTTGAACTCTATTCAAGAAACCAAATTGCCACATTCATGAACTTTATCCTGCGCAGCAATCTCTCCCCCTTAGAGATAATGTACCCTTAGCATGGGTTACAAAATGTTGTTTTTTTTCTCTATCTGTTTATTGTAACTAGGTCTAGAACAATATAGATGTCCAATGTCTTTATGGAAGCACATTTTTATATTTCTGTGAACAGATCTGCTAAAAAATGTGTAGAGTTAGCATTTATTTGGTGTCATTTCTGGAAACTGGGAGTGGATTATGGTGGTTTTTGAGGGATTTTTTCCTTGGGGGGGAATAAAAAGCTGAATACTTGACTGCTGTCTGTTTAAAATGATAAACATCTGTCTCAAGCAATCCATGGGGATATGATTAGCTTACAAATGTGGTATTACTGCAAATGGCAGTATAATATGCGGTTTAGGGGATATAAATTCATCCCCTCCCCCAACTTCATTATTATACACGGAAATATTGGCTCATTTAAATTAAAATCCTCACATTTGAATATACTGTACACACACACACACACACACACACACACACACACACACACACACATATACATATATGGAAAATCTGACCCTGAACCCACAAGCTTCTCGCTGGTTACATTACTTCCAGACTGATGGCTCTGCTTGTTAAGTGTTTGTTATTCCACATGCATCGATGCCCCGCAGGAACAACTTAAGCCTGAGAAGAGAAGGGCCCACAACATCTGTGACCTGCTTCGTTCTCGAAACATCCGCTGGATCTCTGTCACGCTGTGGCTGATCTGGTGAGTCCCTGCTGTCCCACCTGACCCTCACATTTGGTACCGTGACCCTACACACACATAGCTACAAACATTCAAGCACTCACATGTAGGCATAAACACACACGACTGCTCACATTCACATACAAAGTTTTAACCTGTTCATGCATCACTTTAACCACATGTCAGCCTGTTTCACTAACAACAAATAATGACCTGTCGGGTGCTGTGAAGCCTGCAACTAAGATCAAAATCAGGTTTTGCGTAACTGCACAGTATGCCTGTATTCGTCCTGTGCACGCTTCCTTGCTGAGTCCGAAAACAGATGCAGCTGCATTTCTGTTTGATCAGGAAACAATTTGATCTAGCTTTACACAGTTAAGTCTTTGCTAGTGGATAAGATTATATTTTTTCTTAACCTCTGAAGTTAAACATATTAATATGAAAATATTTTTAGGATGCATATCCTGAAAATATCAATTGGAATAAATATGTATTCACACATTGCATATTACAATTAACTGACTTATAAAACTCAAATTTTTCATTTCTCTTTCTATTAAAAACTTGTTTTGAGTGCTTTAGGGTTCCTGTAGGGGAAACCCAAGATAAGGTTGAGTTGTGGTTCTCGTTTGGCTTGCTTTTGTAATTTTTAGCTAGTCACCTTGTATATAAACGGGCGGCTGTGGCTACAGTGTAGCTTGCCATCACCCGTGTGTGAATGTGTGTGTGAATGGGTGGATGACTGAATGTGTAAAGCGCTTTGGGATCCTTAGGGACTGGTGAAGCGCTATACAAATACAGGCCATTTACCATAAACTGAAAAATGGACAAAGACTACATGACATCACCCAATAGTTTCTTATCTGCTTTGAAGTTGTGGTTTTATGTGTTGCAGTGTTATTATTTTAGCCAAAATTGTCAATTTTTGGACATTGATGTGCTAAACAAGCTAGCAATGCTAGCTAGCTTGGTTAGCAAGGCGTATCCATACACACTATAGATGCATTGCACTCACAAAAATACCTGTTAGTTAACATACTAAAAAAAAAAAAGAATTTAATTAGCTTAAATGAAATGTGGCACAGAGCTGGGAACATACTCAGCACCTACCTGTCACCACAGTGAGTTTAAAACATAGATGTAGCTTGAAAAAATGTTGCCAATACAAAAGTGACTGAAGCCTACATTCTTCAGAAATCAATGGATGAAGTTGCAGTAGCTGCAGCCATCTTAAAACTGTCTATGCCGCTCACTCAGTGCAACCATGTTCCTTATCTGCCACAACTTTGAGGCTTAAGGCAACTTTTGAAAAAAGACAAAAATAAAACAAAGTCCCCTATCAATATAAAATGAAGAAATAGCTCTAGGTTTATTTTGTTTCTTTCTAGGCATAAAAACTGTAAAGTACGGAAGTGTAGAGCAGCCACCCAGGCAAAAGAAAAATAGAGCTATATCATGTTATAACGTGAAAAGTTTATTGTTCTAACAATATACTATCATGTTAGTACAAAATACTTTTCACGTTTGAACAACATAATATCACGTTATTACAACATACATAATTATCACGTTTGTACAATATAATATTTATATTGTACGACCGTGAAAGGTTTTTGTTATAACGTGATAATTATGTATATTGTAATACTTTATAGGATATTGTACAAACATGAAAAGTGTATTGTTAGAAAAATAAACTTTTCACATTATAACGTGATATAGCTCTATTTTTTTTCCCCTGGCTGGCAGCTTCAAGCTTCAGTAGTAAAGTACTTCAGGGCTTTTGATGCCATTATCAACTGACCCTAGAAAATTTCATTTTGGCTTTGTTTTTCAGCACTTGTAGGAACCACTTGGACACTCACTAACTGTGTTTATCTGCACTTTTAAAAGTTAAACAAAATTCTAAAATGGATGTTCTTAAAACATTATGAAGCTCTACAAAGCTAAGACAAACTTATGTTACACCACCTAAAATACTAGATTTAGCCTTTCATCTATAACATACCACACTTCTCACTTTTAGTGGAGGTTTTGTAGATGTTGCCATCACAACATCTACAGTGTCAAACCACCAAAAAAACTAAAGTCTGTTGTTGATACAATGTTTCATTATGTTTCTGACTACTTTGTAGTGCCATACTATTGAGATCTACAGAATAAGGATACAAAAAGGACACTTTATATCCTCACAGGAACACCTTGACCATTGCCTATTTTGCTGTTTCCCTGAACACGGCAAACCTTCATGGGAATGTGCACTTCAACTGTTTCCTGTCAGCTCTGGTGGAGGTACCAGCCTACATTTTGTCATGGACTATGTTTCGCTGGTGTTCCAGACGGCTGACTCTGTCCTCATCATTGTCCATGGGAGGGTTGTTTCTGCTACTCATTCAGCTTATTCCAACACGTATGGCACTTAAATGTTTTGTTCAAAACTGATTTATTATAGCTGTAGTTTCTGGCAATCTTTAATTAGTTTTTTTTATATCATTATATATTATGTTCACATGTTCTATTTTGAGTGTTGTTCTCATATTTATTGATTAAGTACAGTCATTTTCAATCTTTTGCAAAACTATACCGCTGTTTGAACACATAAGTTACATCAAACCTCAAACAATTTAATGTGTTTTCCCTGTAGATCTGTTCTCTATGGCGATAGCGCTGGAGATGATAGGGAAGTTTGCAGTGACGATAGCGTATTCTTTGGTCTACGCCTTCACAGCTGAGATCTACCCAACTGTGCTGAGAAATACAGCTCTCGGTGCCTGTTCTATGGCCTCCAGAATAGGAAGCATTACTGCTCCGTTCTTCATTTACTTAAGTAAGGATCTTCTGTCCTCTCTTCAAAGTTGTGTTAATCACTGGTCACAAGGATGAAAAAGAAACACGTTTAAAGTGAGGAGAACATATGCTAAGCATTCTGCCATTACATCTAGCTTATTCTTAGTTTCTCGTTAAATGAAGGTGTGTTTATGCATTTCTTTTCATCTATTTTAGTAAATACTCTGTCACAGGGCTTGAACATTTAGACGTTCAGTGTCAGATAACTTGGGATTTTGAAGTTTGGAGTTGAACTAACTCCTCAAGGAAACCAGACCACACACATCCAAGGAGAAGATAGCAACTTAGAAATGTCCCAACTAGAACTAAACAACAAAAAATACCACCAGCTGAAGTATAATAGAAGACTTGATTTGCAATCAGAAAGGAAACAACAACCTTCAGTTAAAATTTACAAGTTTCTTAGCATTTAAGGGATTTTTTTTTTGTAACCATTGTAGGCAAGGTTGTTTTTCACTTTCTTAACTTCCTTTGATATGTTGCCACAGGAAGCTATTCCGTTTCACTGCCTTACATCCTTATGGGAAGCCTTACAGCCTTAGCAGGGTTGCTGAGTCTCCTGCTGCCTGAGAGCTTTGGAATGCCTTTGCCTGAGACCATTGATCACATGCAGCACTTTCCCGGGTAAAGAAAGAGTTTCATTATAGAGTGAGATTAGGTAAAAAGATTATTTTGCTCTTTTTTTCAGTGTAGTTTAAATTTACAATTGTTGCGGGTTTGGTAGTTTTACTTTCCGGTGTTATAAAGAGAGGCCAATCTTTCAATTTTAAATAGTTTTAAACATAAAGTTTAAATTTCTTTTTTCTTGTATCGCAATTTTATATCATTATATTTTTTTTCCCAAAAAATGTGTTTGCTTAAATTTTAAACTTAAAAAAAAGAAAGATACAGATTACTCTTTTACCCAACTCTGTTAATTTTTTGGTGTGTTATTTAGTTCACAAGCTCAAACACATTTGCCCTTTGATTAGCTAAACTGACAGCTAAACTGAATGTGCAAAGATTAGATTCTTGCTTGTTTAATAAGTAACGTCTATTTGCATATATAGAGAAGAGTAACGTCTATTTGCATATATTGAAAACGCCCTCATCTGCCCTGCATCTTGCCTACATGCAGTTAGTATCAGGGATTATCATCACGTAATATATATTTCTCAATATTTGTCATAGCTACAATTGTGTTTAATCAGGTAAAGGTAAAAAAAACTATGATAAAAAGCTCACTGCATAAAAGACTGACTGTGCTTTGCTGTCATCTTGACCATGTCTATATGCCTAAATGCACTGAGTTGCTTAGATATATGTGTTCATGAGCAGTTGAACCTATTGAAGTGGACAGTGAGTGTATGCAATATACTGAACTCATAACCAAAACAATTGTACCACAGTTTACAATATTTTATTGGTGTCGCTATTATTTAGTAACTTGGAAATTTACCCAGATTCGCCCAGTCTGGTCAGCCAATCCCATATAACAGATATTAAAACATATAGTGGGAATCAGATAATTGTTTGACAAGTGTTTCCACTTCCTCTTTAGTCCAGGACAGAAAATGCTTGATTATGACTTTATTTTTTCTTCCTTCTCTGTAGATGCTGTCAGAGAAAGCCTTACACTCTCACACACATGAGAGAAGAGGAAAATGCTCCTGAATGAAAGACTACATAAACAAGGAGAAAAGTGAAAATCTGACTTTATTCGAATCACTGGATGAGCAGAGATTGTGTACTCATTTCCACTAAGTGACCTCTTTATGGTCATAGGTAAAATTATTGCTGTGTTGTCACTGGATGTATAAAATTATATCAGTTCAAGGGGACCAGAGAGGTAATTTCCTTACAAAACTGGAAAATATTTTTTCATTTTATAGCAAAAAAATATTATAAAAGGAAGCTTATACTCACCACCAATTTGACAACATTAGGATGTACAGTAGGAAACTTGAAAGAGTAACTTGCAGAAAGTTTGTAGAAATTCAGTACTTTGCTTAGAATATAGTGGGAATACATAATGCATTTTAATGGAAGGTTTATTCATTAATTGCTTACCATGAACCATGATCTGACCATGATCTGCCACTCTGAATGACATCATACATGAGTATGCTATAAAATACTCAGATACCAAAGTAATTCTGATTGTGATGATAAGACACCAGGAAGTAGATCGGCTAGTAGTAGATTGATAGTAGAAAATAGTAGATCAGCTCAAGGCCACAACTTAAGGGGGACTTATAAAAACAAACACACAAACTAGTAACCATTATAATGTAATAAAAATAATGTTTTCTTTGGATTCAGCTGTTAATCAGATGCAACCAATTACATGGTGCTGCACGTCAGAAGAAGTTCTATAGGCTAACTAATTACTCAGTCACACTAGAGCAGGGGTGTCGAACTTCAGGCCTCAAGGGCTGGTGTCCTGCAGGTTTTAGATATCACCCTGGGTCAACACACCTGAATCAAATGATTAGTTCATTACCAGGCCTCTGGAGAACTGCAAGACATGTTGAGGAGTTAATTCAGCCATTTAAATCAGCTGTGTTGGATCAAGGACACATCTAAAACCTGCAGGACACTGGCCCTCGAGGCCTGGAGTTTGATACCTGTGCACTAGAGTAAAAATAGGGCAGCAATTTTACTGTGACTAGGAAACACGTTTGGTTTTCTGGTGACTGCACTGATTTCTTTTCTTTCTTTTTTTTAATATTTGGGAGCTGACTACAAGTAGCTGTGTCAGCCAGCCTTTAGCCTTTGGGGGGCCACTTTCAAGAGCAAGGTGAATGCACAGCTGGCCTACAAGCCAACCTGTCATGAACAATCACCATCTGACTCAGACTGACTGCAGTCCTTCTCAGATGAACTGGTGAAGGTTTGAAAATAATTGTTGTCTAATTTAGGAACCCCATTCATTCACCAAATAATAACAAAGTGATAGACTGGCTCTGTTTTATTTTTGTTATTTCACCATCCTGATACACCAAGGTCGCTTTGATGTGAGTGGTTGCAGACCTGGTTCCTGGTCTTTAACCCTTTCATGCATAGTTGTCACTACAGTGGCCAGTGATGTGTCACTCCATACCCGGGCACCCACTGGACGTTTAATGTTACTATAGATGTATGACGTGTTTCATTATAATTACTGTTATTTAACCCTGTCATGCATGAATTATGACAACCTCAATCGAGATTTTTTTTTCTTAAGTATTTTTATTCATCTTTTCATGCCTAAAGATGAATAAAAATATTTAAGAAAAAATCCTGATTGAGGTTGTTATAATTCATGCATGAAAGGGTTAAAGCAACCATTTAAATGAAGTGAAATGAAGTTTATTGCACATGGTTACAGTAACTTTGTTCATGCTGCAGTTTCCAATCACAGTTGTGCTTTCTGTGGCTGTAGCATAATAAATGATGAAAGGGTAGGTAGAAGAGATAGATTTTCTGTCATTACTAAATCATTATTTCAGTAGTCACTCTTTACACACATCAACAAATTCACTAATTCTTCACAAATTATGACTTCAGTTACAGAAAATTATTCATAAAGTAATTATGAGTTTGTCAGTCGTGCCCTATTGAAAATATTGCACATCAAACAAATGCAAACATGTAATAAAATAATGCTTTATGTTTCAAGATTAACCAAATTACATAGCAAAATTGCTGGCAGCCTGTTCTGCTAACCGACAAGGACATTCAAGCTGCTGCTCCAAAAATATTGGTTACATTAAATTTACCTTCAGTCATACACACTGTTAAAACAACACCGTCTGGATTCAAATTGTGTAATTACTTCGTTTTCTTCACCTTTATTACCATGTTATTACTGACTCCAATGCAAAGAACAGCAAAAACATAGCAGTGAGACACAGGAAGTAAAAACAATATATTCGTGAGTCATCAGTGTTGGAAACAATCATAGTCGACTTTTAAAAATCTTCACGTGTTTTGATTGTCCTTTTCTAGTAATGAAGGGACATTTCATTCTGTGCGAGACAAAAGACAAAGAAAACACAGTTTTGTTTTTGCAGAAAGGACGTCTGTAAATGTGTCACCATCTTTGTGTTTACTGCCAAATTAGTTATTGCTATTTTGGTGCTTTTAAGACACTTATACTAAGAGTCAATTTTTGTAGTTGCAGAGTTACTACGTATCACAAGTCTGAGATCTACGTCTGAGGTCAAGTTTTTATGACAAGTTTCACATTCAATAAATATTACATATGTTCTTCCAACTGATCTCACCTTTGTCTTTTATGCATCTGTTCAATAGTTTGAGGCAAAGGCCGTCCGAAACTCTCTGGTAGGAACATAGTAGTGAAGGCAGACACAACAGCAAGAGTCCCCAGTGTAATATAAGGCAGATATTTAAAGTACTGACCTGCACAAAGACAGGGAGCAATTAGGATTGGAGAAAGACCTTGGCCTTGTGTTCATGCAACGTAATGTAGTGTGGGAATTTGTAGTCTATACAGACCGCTAGATATACTTGATAAAATGTTTATTTATGAAGATTCGAGAAACATTCCTTCACTCACTCAGCTTTAACAAAAATGGTGCAATACAGCTTCCCACTCTGGATACAGTAGTACACATTCCTGTTGCAGTATTCCTGAGTACTGTTGGGAACAGCTCTGCTGTATATACAAACATCAGGGCAGTACCGGTCGTAATACCAAATTTGCCCACCATCTCTAGAGTAATAGACAGATATGATAGACCTGAAGGGAAAAAAAAATTAAAGATTCGTATAAGGCTATATACTAATTTGCTTCAGTACCTACTTCTAATATCGGTATTTGAGATAAGATTTGCCTGAAAAAACCTCAGACATATAAATAAATAAATAAAACCTCTGACACTCCTATGGACACAATATGGTGCATTTTTTCTGCTTACCATGAGGCACAAGTTGAATAAAATACAGTGATACTCCTCCAAGGAGCAAGATGCTTACGACAGCGAGTCGTCGTGGAAGGTATTGCAAAGCCAGCCAGCTGGTAATGTATGCTGGAACCTCCACGGCTGCTGAGATGAAACAGCTGATAAATGGATCGGCATGGAGTCGAGATGTATTTAGGGATAAGCCAAAGTAGCCAGTACTTAGAGTGAACCTGTAAACATATGTCAAATAAAACATGGTAGCAATCTGAAAAGGAATCTGCTTGGAATTAGCAGTAGTGGGTTTATATTATCTATTCATGCAATTGAAAGATGAGGTTTTTGTTATTAATCATATTACTACTGCACTTCTCACTACCAAAATCAATAATCACATCTCTGTAATGTGTTACATTACAATGCATCACATTCCAACTCTTCCCAGTGACTTACCAGTAAGGAGCTTTTCTGGGAGACTATTGGGATTGCATTGAAAAGGACCTTCAAACGCTTGTCACCTGTGAATACTGCTAGTTGTGTTCACTGAGTGCCAAACCAGCAGGAATTATGTGTCTGCAAGGCCAGTGCAGCCAGCTCTCTGGTGATTATGGGCCTGCAGTGGGTGATGGTGCTGCAAGTGCTTGTAAAAATATAATGTGAATCAATATGGCTTAGAGCAAAACACTGCTCTTCTAAACAAAACTGTCTTTTTTCCTGTTCTCTCATCATTCATGGGAATTCAGCGATACACAGGATATTCTATTCATCCCCAAAATATAAGTGCTTTGAATTACTACTCACCACACAAGGCAGAGAATGATCGATGTGTTTCTGATGTTTGCAGTCCTTAGCAGGCTGAAGATATTGTGATGTTCATTAGTCTGAGTCTTATCTGCCTAAAAGATACAAAAACCCAGTTTCAGCAGCTGTACTCTGAACTCTGAGCATATGGTAATATCTGTTGCTCCAGGGTTCTATCCCTTTTTTGGTAACAGTAATATTTCTGATCATTTGGGTATTGTCGTGTGTAGTGCGAGAGATATTTATGTGTCTTCCTCAGATTCTCTTTACGTGCCTGAATGATTTAATTCAAAGCCAACTTACTGGTGAATTGTAATCATCAAAGATGACCTGTGGAGCCTCTACTTTGTTCTTCTTGGCAGCATATTTCACTATGTTCTCTGCTTCCTCCACTCTTCCCTGTGAAAGCAGCCACCGAGGAGACTCTGGGATTAACCTGCATCAGTATTCAACACAAAGAAACAAAAAGATTTAGCCTGGATCCAGTGGAACAGAAGTTATAGTATTGCTTATTACTCTCTTTGATGCTTGGCCAGAAGTTCTATACTGTACAGGGTGGGCCATTTATATGGATACACC